ACAAAATGGGTGTGTGGAAGTGCTTCAACTCAACCAGATTCCGATTCCCACTTCCTTCAAAATTTTGAAATCCGGAAATTGTCGGGTTACACGGTTTCTGGCGGGTTCCGGAACAGTTCTGTAGCCGGGTTTTGAGCGGGTCGTCGGGTAAAAGCGGGTTTTTCATGGATTGCAGGTTTGGGTCTAACCGGCCCAGTATCCCAAGCGGGTCGCCGGTTTCCGGGTCGACCCGCCCGGGCCGGTTCGGGTCTGATAATACAGCATAAGACCTGAGTCGGCTCGATAATTACCCTTATTTTCAAGTTGTCAAGTTTATAATTTTTTTTATTAAATACTCTCACCTTTTGACTTTGCACGTTGAATTTTATAGTTGGTTGAAGTTATTCTAAAAGATGATTTAACTAATTTAGCCAGAATTCCAAATTTTTTAGCTATTTCATTCCATTTTTACTTTACCAAATGGGCCGTGTATTATTGATGAAGTATATTTTTTATAATACTCGGTATGATTTTGTTGTTCTAATCTATAAACCTTTAGAGCGAATCAGTTCGTATACCGTGGGATCATCCCACGTGGGATCATCCCACGGTGAGCACCCTGCTCTCACTCTCAAAACGACGTAGTTTTGCACAATCTTTAAAAAAAAATCGCGTGAACAGTACACGCGTGTACAGTAACTATTTTTTCCTTCTTTTTGTCCGGGTAGCATGAATGATGTAACTCACATGTAAATATATGTAACTCATGTTATTGATCAATGTAACTCAAGTTCAGTCGAAATGTAACTTTGTCAAATACATAGTATAAGAAGTAAACTTTGATTTAAATGTAAATAATGATAAAAAAGAAGTCAAATTATTTTACATAAGTGTTGTTGTTTTTGTTTTTAATATCAGGGCTACAAAAATGTTTTTTTATATAAAAAAGTTTCTTTGAATATCAAAGGTTTATTGTGTTGTGTAACTCACATTATATTGCGGTGTAACTCATATTATATAAAATGTAAATCACGTGTAAGTATGATGTAACTTGTTGATGAAAGTTGACATGTAACTCACGCTAATAGACATGTAACTTTAGGCAAATCCTAATGTAACTGCATGTATTTTCAAATGTAATTTGAGCCCAATCAAAATGTAAATTGTCTAAACTGAAATGTGTGTGTGTGTATGAAGATTCCTAATCAACCCTAATGTTCTCATGCTTGGCCAGCAAAAACATCCATGACTCATCACTGATGTGCAATCTGAAGGAACAGAAGTGGGATTGTGTTTGCAGGCTCAGATAGGTCGTACAAGCCAAAGCAGAATAGGATAGTTGCAATGAAAACCAAAGTTGAATAGGATTTAACTTGCTTGGTCGGATTTTATTTCGTGCTCGCCAGCTATGTGCAGAGCTCCATCTCTCTAGGGAAAGGCAGACCTTTTCCTTTTTTTTAACTAAACGACACCGTTTTTGGGCTTGGAGCACGATGCTCACCGCGGGATGATCCCACGGTATAATTTGCGATCCACAATGGTGGTGAGTTTTGACCCTCACTTCTTTCTTCCACATCACTTCCCTTCTAAAACTTAATCCTCTTTAATCTATCACAATTTCTCCCCACTATGGTGACCTAGATCACTTAAAAAAAATTACACACTCTCTCCTTATTTTTTTTATACATCCCACATTTATTAATTTATTTAGGATATTTTCTTTTGGACTGTTTTCAGTTCTAGACCAGACCAGATCAGACTTCCGTAATTATAAAATACACAGAGACCAGACGTTTACCAGATCAGACCAGAGCAATTCAGATCAGACCAGATCAAACCAGACCAAGAGGGAAGAACGGTTTGGATCCATTTTTAGGGAGAAAAATTTTCTAAAACAGATAAAATCAGATGCAAGAGGAAAAGAAGTGATAAAATTCGAAGTGACTAAACATATCCTTCATTGGTGTCTACTTATAGAAGAAAAAAACCTGATTTTTTGGTATTATTTTTTGTAAAATAAATTAATTTAATGCATAAAATATTAAATTAAAAAGTTAGTGGGATTTGTGGTTAGAAAATTGGGAGGAGAATTCCTCTGCTCATTTTTTGCTCCAGTCATACACTCACTCCTCCCCTCATTTGTCAGATTCAATATTTGAGCTACTAAGTTGACGGATCAATGCTTGATCTACCATAGTGGGGTCAACTCCCATCAAGTTGTTTTTTTATCCCCATTGACCACCCATAGTGGGTGCCCTTAAGACGCATCAAGTTTAATTAACATCAACCCTTCTTCTTGTACCCACCTATGTAGCACGGATACTTCCCTAGGGTAGCGTATCAGCGTATCCGATACGTTTACGTATCCGATACTTTAGGATACTCGTACCGTATGTTCCCGGGCCGTATCCGCAATTTTTAAAAGTTTCCATTTTTTTTGTAATTTTTTGAAAGTTTCCGATACTCGTATCCTGACAGATACCCGTATCAACTTTTTTTAAAAAACAAATCCCAAAATTTACTTAATAAAATTCTAAAAAAATGAAAATCTAAAACTACATTTTACTTGGTAATCAAATAATGGGCCTATATGGCTATATCCGAATTAAGTCATTAACTCATACTCCGAATTGGGTACTTGCACTTTTAATTTCAAGATTGTAGTTGTTAGACTTATTTCTCATTTTAAATTAATGACTTATTGAGTACATTTATATTTCGAGATACACTAGTGTATATGAGAAATATTCTGAATTTATTACTAAGTATCTTGAAAAAGGAAAATGCTTCAATGCAATGAATGGGTAGACATCATAGGATATTAGATGTATATATATATATATATATATACACATATATATATATACATATATATATACATATATATATATATAGGGGTGAGATCACATACTAACCATTCCTCCCATGCTAACCTACAAACTATCAAAAACGGTGCATCTTTACATTATTTGTACTGCATATTGAAGTTCAAAGTGTTGCATATTATTTGTACTGCATATTAAAGTTCAAAGTTTTGCATATTGTTTTTATTGCATATTGAAATTCACAGTGTGCATCTTTACATTATTTGTACTGCATATTGAAGTTTAATGTGTTGCATATTATTGAGTTAGTAAGTTAGTATTTTAAGCATGGTTAGTATGTGATCTCTTATATATATATATATATATATATACTAGCGGGGGGGGGGGGGGGGGGGGGGGGGGCGTTGCGCGACGGGCGAGGCCCAATGTTCGGAAAAAACCGAGAAAATTGCATAAATGCAATCGAAAGCAAAAGAAATACAGGAGTTTAAAGCTATTAAAATGAAATCTGAGCTGAACATGATTGTTCCAGAGGGTTCAAATGTGCAGTCAGTGAACTCAAAGTAGGAAAGCTAATTTCATAAATACATTATTTTGAATATAAGAAAAGTTTTGGGAAGAATCGTACTAAAGTGTATCTACTTACTTCACACAAGTGTCATGCTATGTTGCAATCACTCGCAGTCCGACTGATCGGGTCTTTGGCAAACCTACTCTTCCTGCCCTTTGACTTTGTCGGTCTATCAATGTGTGATGTAATGTGAGATTTTCACTCAATTTTGTTATGCCCATCAGAGGAGACCCTAGCAGCAGGCTGTGTAACCACGCACATGACGAAGTATATGGAGGATGACAACATCCAGTGCATCATATTCTAGCTGATATTGAGTTAAAGGTCGTTGCTCCCAGTTGCTATTTCACCTGATTTTGTTAAAAGCAGCTCCCAATATTTTCTTTGATAAAGACCAAACAGGGGGGCCTTTGACTCTAAAAAGATTCTGAATGTCAAGAAGCATGTCATAGTGCTCAAAGCACTGCAGCCTTTCATAAGAGCAAGTAAGTTGAGCCATGTCACATTGGAACTTGAAAACCGCCAATATTCCATTTGTAGTACATGAGTAGTGGTCCAAACTTTAAGAGTCATTATAAAATTGGAAAAACGTAAGTTAGAAATGTGAACATCTGATTTGGCATATCAAGATTTATTTTTTGGGAAAATGGAAATTAATAATCCAACCTTTTAGCGGTCTTCTTTTAATAGTCCGACCTTTTCGTTATTCATGAATAATCCAACATTTGCACCTCATCTTCATTCATTGGTCCCCGACCGGTTGATGACCTGCTATTCCGAGTGATTTTCTTATCTCTGCAAACTATTATACCATAAATTCCACTTTTCACAAAGATAATATTTTGCAAAGATAAGAAAATAACTTGGAATAACAGGTCGTCAACCGGTCGGGGACCAGTGAATGAAGATGGGGTGCAAAGGTTGGATTATTCATGAATAACGAAAAGGTGGGACTATTAAAAGAAGACCGCTAAAAGGAAAAGAGAAAAGAGAAGATAGTGCTGGTAAGGAAAAGAGAAGATAGTGCTGGTAAGGAACAAGACCATAGTTGAGCCATGGAGGAGGGACAATCTAGAAAAAGAAGAGTCGTGGTTCTGTAGAACCTTGTGGAAGTTCAAGTTCAAATGGAGGTTGATGGGGTCATGGGGATGAATAAAAAATGGCGAAGTGGATGTGCTCCCGATAGAACACCGCCTAGAATACTAATGGATGTTGTAATTGTGATGCTTCCTTTGGAGGTGACCAAACAAACCTCTTCTCTCTTCTCGGGTGGCTGGTCAACCGAAATACTTAAGTCATGTTATTGTTTTTATTTGAAGAATTCTAGTTTATATATTTCTCGTTTTAATAGCAAGTTCAACAATACTGTTAGATTAACCTTTATAATTGCGGGTTTAACGAATATGATTGGCCCTTGGGGGTCGATCTATTCTATTTCTCGTCTCAGTATAGCTTTGAAATATTAAATTGCTTCTTCCTTTGTTACTCCTATCATTAATAAATTTTCTTCTTTTAAAAAGAAACTAGATTCAAATATTAAAATTAAGATCTCATTGTTATTTCTTTTTTAAATCTTTCAATTATTTCTTCAAAAAATTAGATTTGAAGCAACAAAAAAACTCCAAATTTATTTATTTATACATCACAATTATTGACTTTTTAAATAATAATTATTGACAAAAAAAGATTTTTTCAAAAAAAAGAATGATGTGTAATTATAGAAGTATTTATTTAATTCAATATCTGGAGCCCTCTCCTCTTCTCTCGACAGCAGAAGCACTGAAAGGCAAAAAATAATCTCTCTCCCGATTTCGTCTCCTCCTCCTTTGATCGAGAATTAGCGCAAGGAACCCCATTCATTGGTAAGCTCTATTCTACTCCATCTTCATCCATTTGGTAGAGTTCAGTTAGGTTAAAATCGGTGTAAATTTCAGATTTTTATTGTATTAGAACCTGATATTGGTGAAGAGCAGGCTTGAGGCATTGAATATGATTTGATAATTCCGAAATTAGGAAGTTTTTATGTCCTCCAAAATTATTATTTGCCCTATTTGGTAATTCTTGAGAAATTTTAATACACACACACATATGTGTGTATATATGTGTGTCAGATTAGAAAAGTATTGCCTTCTACCTTTACTCCTGAGTGATTTGCCTTAATGGTTTGGTTCTTATTGTCCTTCGAAATCTAATTGATCCTTTTAGTGTCGCATCACTATCAACCTTTGGGTGTAGTTCCTGCCAATTGGGCATTTGGGTGTGTTTTTCTTCCATTATTATAAAAAGGATTTGCATTTCACATTGAAGGGAGAGTTGTACACTTGTAGAGATGCATTTCAATCTTTGAAAGCATGGGTATTGTTTACTCCAAACTAACACAGTGTAATCTTTTTACCTTTAAGTCGCTTTGTATTTTGGAGGTTATGCTCTTTGCTTAGTTTTGGTTCACCTCCATTAGTGACAGTATATTTTATGACTCAACATTTTATTTTAAAAAATCAATAACTTAAATGATTGGGTTAATGGTTTCTATGAAACACACGATTGTAGCACATACTTCTGTCTGTGAACTTTTCTGATAGAATTCTTCTTTAACACTTGGCTGAGGCTTTTTATTGAATAGTTTTTTTTATATATCAACCTTGATAATTTTTTTCAATACTTGTAGTCTGTTTTATCTCAAATTCTATACAACTATTTAAATTGTTGCATGTCCAATCCACAGTTCTTCTCTTCGGGAAAATAAAAAAATAAGATGAGGGTTCTACTTTATTATTAAGTAAGTAGATCTTTATTAAGTGAATTACTTTGGGTGTGAACAAAACTCTACATTTTTTCATTGTATGATATGTTTTTAGTTTGACTTGTTTCAGTCTCGTACCAGATCAAAATATATATCAAACCGGACTTAAAAGTTACTCTAGTATATATAGTGCCATGATAGAGAGTTACTTTGGGTGTGAACAAAACTCTGCATTTTTTCATTGTGGATATCAATAATTAATTGGTATTGCTTAACATGATTTCTAGAGTATAAAATACTTTCTCCATTCTTTTTAGTTGCAACATTTCATTTTCACGTTTGTCAATACATAACTTTGACCATTACTATATTTAATTCTCTGATTGTAAAATATTTCAAAATAATCACAATTTGAAAATTTAAAGTCAAAAGAATTTAATTACATTTTTTAAAAATAGCATTATTTAATATATTTTAAAGTAGAGCAGATGAATGTGTAAAATTTCTAATGTTGCAACTATTTTAAAATAGAGGTAAGCATATTATTATGCTTTAATAGTCCTTTTATACTTTCAGCTAAAGAGCTGAAAACAGGTGCGGACGAAGAAGGGAGTAGACCCACTCCGGCTGCGCAGTTAAAACCAGCATCGATTGGCCGCCGCTCCTTCAGCATCGATAGCTACTCCTCCACAGTCCACTGATCACTGCTCCCATATCACCAGACGCCGTCATCGTCTCCTTCATCGCCCACAACCACTCTCTATCGGTCTATCCCTAACCAGGTAAAAAGGCTTGCTAAGCTATAAATTGAACCTTTTGTATTGCGTGTGTTTTTTGTATATATGTCTTGGGTTTGTTTAATTTCTTTACATTTGAAATAGAATACGACTATAACCAATCTATGAGTCCAAGGCCAAAATAAGGATCCTACTTCGGTGAAAATTCATTTTTGTGCTATGTATTCCACATTGATAAAGTGTGTGTTCTCTGAGGTAAGTTTGTAGAGCATGAAATTAAAACGCTAGGTCTAAACATATCAAATTTTGGAATGTCTATAATGTCTTTGGTAAAATGTCTCAATGGAGTTTTCTTACAATCACATGTTAGGCCATAATAACCATTTTTAGAGTTGAAGTATAAAATAAATGGATGGTTATGCCAAAGCCCAAAAGTACACCAACATAGAAAGTTCATTGTTTGTTTTAATTCTTCCCAAAAGATTCAAGTTCTGGCATTTCTAATTTTCTATTCCTAAGAAAAAAATGTAAAGTTTTTACAGATATTCATATCGTAGGCACTCGCTGAAAAAAATATTTAAGACGGCCATAATGAGAACATGAATGTCGTCGAAAACATTTATTTTATTCAACTCGAGGAGTTAGAAGTGTTTTTTGGAATATGCATTATGGTATTTTGAGCTTGATGTTTTCTTTCAATTGATGTATTAATGATACTTTTTAAATTCAACTGACACAATGTAGTGATGTATGCTTGACAAGTTATACAGAGTATAACAAATAATAATGGATGAAATGTATTTATTCCGTAATTCTAATAAAGATAGGATTATAAAGCTACCATATCCTCTATTAATAGGGGTTGATCAAAATTGGTAAACGAGCCAGGAGGATATATTAGCAAAAGAACAAACTGTTTATGTTAATCTCCTTATAAGGTTCCACCTCTAATATTGGGAAATCCTTAAGATGTCTTCCATCTGTACTTGAACAGAAGTGATTCAATGTTATGTGGTGGAACCATCTCCACTCTTCAATGTTATGTATGTATTTCGCTCCTGAATGTTTTCTCGTTTATTAGGTGCAGAATAGAGTAAAACCTTTGCCAGAACAAGGTAGAAAGTGGCATCTGGTATAATTGTATGTGAATGGACACCTTACATGTAGCAGGACATCCCATGTATCAGGAGGTCGTAAGGTCATGTGGGTCCGAGCCAAACAACACCTCTGTTCTTGTTGCCCGTGCAAAGAAGCTCCTACACAGAAGGATGTTGGTTGGTGTTAACGATGGTCGCTTCTTTTCTGGTTCGTTCTATTGCATTGATAAGCAAGGAAACATCATTCTTCAAGATGCCATTGAATACCGAAGCACTCGACACTCTTCTCCTTCCCCAATGGAACAACGATGCTTGGGTCTCATTCTCATACCCTTCTCTTGTCGGACTTCATGTCATGTTGATTGCTCTATTGAAGAACAGCTGTCCCTCATGTCTTTCTATGAGCTTGATTCAAAGTCATGATGCGTATAATTTTTGAGATAATTCTTCATGTCAAACATTTTCCCCCATTTTACTTTAACCTATTTCCCATTTTTGTATGTGTGTGTTTTCCATTCTCAAATGCTCAATGTCTACCCATACATTATGTTATTGTAAAGATTGTCATATTTTCCTTCTGATGCGTTCTGCTAGTCATTGACTCGGGCCGGGTCGGGTCAGGCCTAGGCCCGGCCGGGCTTTTGAGGGTTGGGGAAAGGCCTGGAACCGGCTCAGATTTCCACCGGGTACGGGCCTCGGGCCGGTTCATAATTTTGTTTGCTTTTCTAACTACCCCTGACGCCCACCCCCCAACCCCCCCAAAAAAAACACCCAGCCCCACCCGGTGGAAACAAAAAAAAAATGAAAACCCCCCCAAAAAAAACGCACGACCCGGGGCCGGCCGGGCCGGTTCGCATTTCACATAGCCCGTACCCGCCCCGGATAGCCCCACGAACTGGGCCCATACCCGGTATCGGTACCCGGTTTCCCGGGCCCGCACAGTACCGGGCCGGTCCGGTTCCTGGGCTGGGTGGCCCGAATCAGGTCCAAGACTACCTTTTGCTAGCATCACAGATAGGAGTTGGGTAACTCTAGGAAGGAAAGTCTAGGGGAGTCAGAATTAGGTGTGGACTGGGACTGAGTCGGGTCGGGTTCCAGGTCAGGCTGCGAGTCATTAATATTCAGGCCCGGTACCGGCCCGGGTTGGGGCTTTCTTTTTTTGGTCTTTTCAAATTAATTCCAACCCCTCACCCCCCAAAACCGCTCGGCCCCACCAACCTAGAGGCTAGCCCAATGGGAAAAAAATTAATAAAAAAAATGGGTCTTGGCCGGTCCACCATTTTTGGATCCTGTAGCCCGCCGTTTGAAGCCGCCGGTTCGGGGGCCGGTCCAGGTCCTCCATCACCGGGCCGGGTCGAGCCTGCACAGTGCCGGATCAAGTCCCGGGTCACGCCGACCCGTCACAGTCCATCCCTAGTCAAAATGTGTATAGACAGCTAAAGAACAAGAAACAATATTTCCCATATGCCCATGTCATGGAGGCATGGAGCTATGGCTCCCAAAGTCCCATAGTCCCATTTGAGTATACGACTCGCACTGTCGCACATCCCTTTGTTATGGGTCTATATATATTGTCCTGATTTAACTAAGACTTTATTGAATTTACTTTAGTTCAATGATTAATAATATGGCGCTTCAATGTATGTTGGTGAGGTGTAAAAGCCAAAATTAAAATATTTATTTAGCATGGACGAAATTGAATAATGCAAATTCCAGGTATACATTTTCTTTGTGTACATTCCTTTATTTTGCTTGTGTAGACATGTAACTCGTCATCAAAATGGGACAAGTTGTTAGTGTACATAACCAAATTCATAAAAAATGTTTACACCAAGAATTATTACTAACCATTTCAGACTTCATTCCTTATTTATCTTAATATAATAAACTTAGAGTTTTACTTTTAGGAAGTAAGTTGTTTTGCTAACATTAGTCTGGTATAATGGTTAAAGTTTAGATTAAAAAATGACACAAGTTTTTGGATAATGGTTAAATAAGGTACTTTGAGTATATTTTTAGAAGAAATTTATGTGGATATATAATAAAGAAAAAGGGTCAAATAACATCTTTTACAAATTATGAAATTATCACATTAAACCATATACGGAGTAAAATATAACCTAAATATGACTATTTTTAAAAAGCAATTAGAAGAGATCGAATGACTAGAAAATTTGTATAATATGACTGCCTACATGTGGTTTTTAGCCAAACTTGTCTATTTTTCCACATCAGCCTCCAAGTTCTAGTCACCGTCAATCTTCTTGAAATATACCATATCTAGGCATGCCATTAAAAAGGTTTCCATCCTTACGATTGCAGCAATTGGGGAGGTGAAAATTCAGGGTGATTTATTCATTTCATTGCTCGGCTTGTGATTTTCTGATTTGATATGCGAGTACTGTTTTCATAGAGCATTTAAGTTACTGTACTATCTTGAATTTAAAATCTTGAGCATTGTAATTTGGACATTTGGTTGAAAGAAAGCTCTTCGTTACACTCTTTATTATAAATACTATTTTTTTTTACAGTATTTGGATTCTTTGTGCTACTGAATTAACGCCAGATTCGGACATCAAATTGGTGCTACATTCCTTCATAAAAAGTAACTATATCTATTCCAATGTTTTGTTTTTCAAAATGTTTCTCGAAGCCAAACCCAGAAAGTTGATGCCGTGGCAAAGGCTGGTTAGAGCTTTATGACCCTCATTACTAGTGCAAGGCTTACTTCATAACCGAAGTGAAATGTGAAATCCTGGAGTCCTGGACAACAACCTATCAGAAGCATCTAATAACAACCTTGCAACTTTTGACAAGGGTGAGGATCCTGAGCATTATGATTTATGTGTATTCTTGTTATTCAAAGGAGGTCTATGAGAGAATAAATTCACATCATCTTCACTAAATGAATGGGAGATGCTGTGGAGTAGGACAAGAACAATGATATTGCGCCTCCAGTTCCAAAGAAAATGTCTAGAAGGCCTAAGAAAAGGAAAATGTGTCAAGCTAGTGAAGGGCCAACATCTAAAAAGGGAAGGACAACACGTAAGAAAAAGGCAGACTCGAGACTTGCTATGTATGTAAGGTTGTAGACATAATAAATCAAAGTGCCTGAAAAAGGCCCTAGCTACAGAAATGGTGTCCACAGAACCATCAGCCACAGGTTCAAAGAGAAGAACAAGAGGCAAACAACCTTCTGCAAAACCAAGAAAGAGAACAAGAAGCCAACTTGAAGCACCAACAAGTCAACATGATGCAGCAGAGAGTGGACTATGACATGTTTTAGGCTTGGTGTATTTTGCAGTTGAACCTTTATGCTTATGTTTTAGACTCTCTTTCTTTGCGGTTTAAGCTTTATGTTTATGTTTAGACTTGGTCTGCTTTGCGGTTGAAGCTTAACGCTTATGTTTGCCACTGGAAACCATCCCAACAACTTTATGTTTAAACTTAGTGTATTTTGAGGTCTAAGCTTTAAGTATCTAGTTCTACTAGTTAAATTTTCTGGATGTAAAAGCTGAACTTCCTAAGTCAGAATATGGATATTTTCTTCTAATGTTCATGCGCATGTGTTATTGTCATGGGTGTTTATTGAGAATGGCATTTAACACTCTAATTAAAGAAACCAAGATCATTTTTGCCACCAACAGGATTTTTTGTAGCAGCAAGGAATTGAGGGTTGCAGCACCTGAGATTGAACAGAAGGAATGGTTGCTGCTGAGCAGGCAATTGGATTTGCAGTTGCGCTTATGGTGGGGAATGGATATACACTACAATAGAGCCAGGAAGCGGGGAATTGGGGATACACTACAATAGAGCCGGGAAGTCAAATAAATTTCAGCATCTAAGTAAATAAGGAGGAAGCTGCAGAAGGATGATGTATCAAACTGGAGCTGAGATAAAACATTGTAAAGTTAGCTGAACAGAATGACCCAAAAGAGATTGGAGTTCCTGTCAATTGTTTCAATTGTATCTTCCATTTGTTTATAATGAGCTATACTTATTTTCTGGAAACCATGAGAATGACTGGGAAATTATTTTTCAAAAACTATTACCTTCCATGATCTAAGCCAGCTTATACTATGACTTCCACAATACATAAATAAAATTTCACAAACAAGGCTACAGACATATATAAACAAGGCTTTAAACACCATCAAATTCACACATCCAAATAACCAAATTTAAGATAATAAGAGACATATTGTCATACACATTGCTGCAAATTCTAGACTACCAACTACAATTAACACAGCCATAATAGTACCACCACAGCCCTAATGAACTACCACAGCACCTCACTAACTACACCTACCATAGCTATCATTTACTGCTTTCTAGTACAATTTTCATGACAGTTGTTGCTACCACAACTATCATTACTACAATTATAGCCAGTGAATTATATTTTCTCCTTTCTGCACTTTCAGCAAGCTCGCGACCAAGAGACTGTATTTCATCTCTCAACTGAACCAGAAAATTCTTTACCTCCTGGAAGTCTGATTCAGAAGACTCATTGTTGTTTCCACCTTCCTTTTCCCAAGTCAAGAATCCACATCCTCCTTCCTACATCAGTTTATAAAAATAATAAAACATCAAAACATAACCAGCAAATTATCATCAAAATCGATTATTTACAGGAAAAAACTACTTCCCTGATACAGTATTAAAACTAAAGTCCAAATCGTTAAAGAAGTTAGTTAGAAGTCAGTTAGCATCCTAACTACATGTTGTATAAATAAAGACTTGTGATTGTAATTGGACAGATATCAATACAATAATAATCCCCTTTCATTCCTATTCTTCTTCCTAATCCCTATTCACGACTATTCTTCCGCCACTAATCAATCCAGCTCGAGTTAAGTTCTCCATCTTCCTTAGCTCCACAGATTGATGAATACAAGGTCAATTCTCCATCGGAATTAACTTGTATCATTCCCCCAGTAATAACTCGAATTCGGACAATATAATTGGCCCCCCAACGAATAAAAACCTATAATCGGTTGAGATTAACTTACTTTCCAACGTTGACACCCGTAAAATTTCCAGCCATTCTCCCTGGCAACATACAACGGAGATTTTAACCCACAATTACAGTAAATAGCAGGTTCATAAGTCAGATCTGGAACCATCTTTGAATTAGAGCTGAACGACGTTGAATACGTGTCGGGGCTGGGAATTGAGGTGAAGCAGATCGAATAAACCCTAAGTTAAGGCTTTAGGGATATCGAGAAGATGCAAATAGGTTTGCTAAGAGCAACAGTAATGCGGTTTTTTTAGTGTGACAATAGTGGGCCAATCCTCTCTTTAATAGCACTACAATTCTAGGGAACAAATTCCAGCCCACTGGTCATTGCACTGACATCCGTTCGATTACCACATTACTAAATCGACGGCTTCGGTTTTCATCCATTATGCGCTTTTAACATTTTCTCGTCATTTACTTTTTCTTTCCTTTTATGTTTCCTTCACCCTCTAATTAGAGATGTTCTTACATCCTCTCTTTAATAGCACTACAATTCTAGGGAACAAATTCCCGCCCACCGGCTATTGCACTGACATCCGTTCGATTACCACGTTACTAAATCGACGGCTTCGGTTTTCATCCATTATGCGCTTTTAACATTTTCTCGTCATTTACTTTTTCTTTCCTTTTATGTTTCCTTCACCCTCTAATTAGAGATGTTCTTACATCCTCTCTTTAATAGCACTACAATTCTAGGGAACAAATTCCCGCCCACCGGCCATTGCACTGACATCCGTTCGATTACCACATTACTAAATCGACGGCTTCGGTTTTCATCCATTATGCGCTTTTAACATTTTCTCGTCATTTACTTTTTCTTTCCTTTTATGTTTCCTTCACCCTCTAATTAGAGATGTTCTTACATCCTCTCTTTAATAGCACTACAATTCTAGGGAACAAATTCCCGCCCACCGGCCATTGCACTGACATCCGTTCGATTACCACATTACTAAATCGACGGCTTCAGTTTTCATCCATTATGCGCTTTTAACATTTTCTCGTCATTTACTTTTTCTTTCCTTTTATGTTTCCTTCACCCTCTAATTAGAGATGTTCTTACATCCTCTCTTTAATAGCACTACAATTCTAGGGAACAAATTCCCGCCCACCGGCCATTGCACTGACATCCGTTCGATTACCACATTACTAAATCGACGGCTTCGGTTTTCATCCATTATGCGCTTTTAACATTTTCTCGTCATTTACTTTTTCTTTCCTTTTATGTTTCCTTCACCCTCTAATTAGAGATATTCTTACATCCATACCATTCACACGCGATGAAAGTGGGGAGATGCTTCAGAAACATTGAGCTGCTCAATTTACTTCTACGAAAACACATCTCCTTAAAGCAAGATTTCATCGACACCCGTCAATTCCCCTATGGTCAGTGTTCATGTTTTTATTGTAGTTTCATAGCCATCTAAATTCTTGAATAATTTTTTTTTTGAGAGAAAAAAAAAATCCTACATAAAATTTCGAGATTTGAGTATAAAACACATAGCCTTCATTTTGAGATTGCAATTCTAAGAAAAAACACCCCTTTGGGTTGTATTTTTTTATTAAACTTTTTGTTAGGAAGGTGTTTGATACAATCTTGGTCATTCCTTTAATTTCTTGTGAAGTTGTAGCAGAAGAGCCATCGATTCACTCTGTGCTTTCAAAGAATCAGAAGATCATTCAATCGTTCTTCACTTCTTCCTCGGTATACTGAGTTCCCTAATGAGGTGATCACACTCCACCTTTACACTTTTTGCCCATTTTGTGAGGCTAAAATATAAGTGAAATGGTTGAATTTGATGATCATGCTAAGTTTGTTGCTAAAAGGGCTGAATTTGAACAAATGATACAATATATAATGGGATTAAATAGAGTTGAATAATATGTATTGTCATACTATGAATATACAGCAAACTAAGTTAATATTTCAAATATTAATGCTGTTATACATACAATATATTGTGAATCTTGTGTTGTTTAAATAATCTTATTACTAACATAATGCCACAAATTTTTAGGTGGGTGCCGCATAGGCTCCCACCTAAGGTGGGGAATGAGATATTTTTAGATATGAAGATTAATGTTGGTGCATTATAAAAATTAGGAATAGGATAATGTGGTCTGAAATGGATACGGCTTCATAAAAAAGTGTTGTGAATGATGATTTGGTGTTAATTCTAGACTTTCTTTTATCATATTTTTTATATATCAATTTGAAACTGAGTTTTTTCCACTTTTAGTCCTCCGACTATTATGTCATTGACACTTTTGGTACTCGACTTTGATTTTTTCCATTTTTAGTCCTTGTCTATTGCGCTAGAGACACTTTTGGTACCCATCTTTGAAAATTTCCATATTTAGTCCTTCAACTTTCATAAAAGTGACATTTTTGGTCCTTCAACTGTTATAACAGTGACATTTTTAGTCCTCCATTTATTGTGTCGAAATCATAGTGAGATGACTAAAAGTGTCAATTTGACAATACTCAGGGACTAAATGTGGGAAATCTTAAAGTCGGGGACTAAAAGTATCTCTAGCACAATAGTAGAGGACTAAAAATGGAAAAATTAGAAGTCGAGTACCAAAAGTGTCATTGACATAATAGTCGGGGGCCAAAAACGGCAAAAACTCATTTGAAACTTGAAGTAAGTCTAGAAAAATCTGCTTTAATCTTAATAAGCAGGTTTTATGAGATGTGTTTCCATCTTAAAGTGTAAATTCCTAGCTTTAAATTATTTAAAAATGTCAACTTGGTTGATGTTTCCGATTCCTTTTAACAGACTGCGTTAGGATGCCAACATGGAAACCACTATGGAAGGAACTAAAGCTGAGGATAAGGTGAGATGAATATGTTAGCCTCTTCAGGCTTATGTGTTGGAAAAATGTGTGAAAAATTGCATTAAATGGCTATTTTGGGGCAATTTTTTGAGTGGGGTCCGCTTCCGATTTGGGTCGGGTCAAAGTGGTTTCGGATTGTCCTTGTTAAGGGCTACAATTCGATATATGGTACGCTCAAAACGGATAACGGGTGAATGAGAAATCGCTTTTCGAAGTTTACCCGTTAGAATGGAAAAACTGGGAAAAAGGATGGGTTGGGTTTCTAGTGTTAATTTCCCACACCGGAAAACCCAAGGGATTTGCAACCCTTTATAAAGGGACTCCCCCCTTAAGGAGTTAAGATTCCTTAGGGTAGAGGCTCTCTCCACGCGCGCAGGGGGGGGGGGGGGTCGTCCAAAAATCTATCTCTCAAGAGATACGATTAATTTTTGTTTTCTTCCCGAAACGTTTAATTTTTTCCCAGCGGCAGAAGTGCTCGGATCAGAACCCCTCTCGTTGGTATTCTGATGGCAGAACCCCTCATGGGGTATTCTGATGGCCGCCCATCAGAGATGGGGTATTCTGATGGCCGCCCATCAGAGTTGGGGGTACTCTGATGGGTCGCGGATCAGAGTTGGGGTCTTCTGATTGGCCTCCGATCAGAACCCCTCCCGGGGTGTTCTGATGGAGGTCTTCTGTCGCGCTTCTGATACGTTACAACAATTAATGCCCAACGTTTATATCTTTTAATGCAGCGTTAAATGGACAGTTCATGGACGATTCAATGCCCAACGGACTGGTCATTGATGTCCAACGTTCAGGTCCATTAATTCACTATTTTCATACAACAAATCCTCCTATATAATGGCTGGCAGGTGGTTTGCAACAACACGCGTTCTTACACGATTTTACACGAATCCATACACGTTTTAGCTCTAAAAACACACTGCTAGCACTCTGAAAATTCCTTCTGTGTTCAGTCTTTGTTCTCGTTCGTTGGAACTCTTGTTTGTGTGCTCAAACATTAGTTCGTTGTCATCGTATCCTGGGAAACTATTGTTGCAACGCTCCTAGCACCGTGGGAGGCAACAAATACGTTTTAAGGACATCGTGCGTAGCACGAGCTTTGACAAATTTCTGCTCCATCTCATTTCTGTTTTCTTTTGTCATTTTATTTAATTAATTTCTTTTAATTAATTTTCTTTATTTTCCGAAACACACCCAACAATCTTAAAACGTATTTGCGGATTGTTATACTGCGGTATACAATCTTAAGCTGTAGTTTGTCACTTTGGTGAACGAACTTGTTTTTTTTTGTTTTCGGAAAATCGTTAAGAAAAACGAAAATGGCTTCTCAAGAAAACCAGAATGTTGGTGGGCAGAACGTGCCGAACGATAATCATTCTGAAAGCGGAGCTCCGGTGAACAATAGTTTACAACGCGGTGCATCTGCTTTGGGCAACCAAGGGGCAATCCCTATGGTTACCGTGCCAAGCAACTCTGTGGAGAAACCCGAAAAATTTAACGGGTTAAACTTCAAGAGGTGGCAGCAAAAGATGCTCTTCTATCTCACTACTCTCGGTCTTGCACGTTTCTTGACCGAGGACGCGCCGGTTGTAGCCGGGAGTGAGGTAGATGTGCAATCTCTCAACGCGGTTGAGGCTTGGAAGCATTCTGACTTCCTTTGCCGAAACTATGTGTTGAACGGGCTGCATGATGCTTTGTACGACGTATATAGCAAATTAGCTACGGCTAAGGAGCTAACCGGGACATTTGCTCTAACCGGGAGCTATTCGCAACCTTTGAGCCATCAAACGGTGAGAAGGTGTGGATGGGAAATTCTGCTCATTCCGAGGTGGAAGGCGTGGGCAAGGTGGTCCTGAAGATGACTTCGGGCAAGGAGCTGACTCTCAACAATGTGTTGTACGTCCCGGAGATACGCAAAAATCTGATCTCGGGCTCATTGTTGAACAAGCATGGCTTCCGCATGGTCTTTGAGTCGGACAAACTAGTTTTGTCTAAATCGGGAATGTATGTGGGCAAAGGGTATGCATGTGATGGGCTGTTTAAGCTCAATGTAATGACTATTATTAATAATAATAATAAAATCCCTTCTGCTTACTTGCTTGAGTCTTCCAATGTGTGGCATGGTAGACTAGGACATGTTAATTTTAATTCTATACGTAGATGAATTAACATGGAGCACATTCCTAAATTCACAATTGATGTGAAGCACAAATGTGATGTTTGTGTTGAGGCAAAGCTAACGAAAACGTCTTTCAAATCGGTTGAAAGAAAAACGGAACCACTAGAATTAATTCATAGTGACGTTTGTGATTTTAAATCAATACAAACACGTGGTGGTAATAAATATTTTATTACTTTTATCGATGATAGCACTCGCTATAGCTATGTTTATTTGTTGAAAAAT